AGACTGCCCCCACCATGAATATTCCTCCCCTTGTTTAGCCCGTTGCTTAAATAGAAAGGCAACAGGAACCAGGGGGCCGGTTCTCTCCCACAGGAAGGGCCAGCCTATACTTTGTCTGTGGAGTACACTTTCTAGAGTTTCTGCAGAAGGCTGGTTCTCTCCTGCAGGGAGAACTTGCCTCTGCTCTGTCTGTGAAGTAGACTTTCTAACTTTCTATAGTTTCTAAATAAATATCGCTTTCAATAAAGTATTTTGTTGACTCACTCCTGAATTCTTTCTTGTGCTAAGCCAAGGACCCACTTGGACTTCAAGTGGCTCCCAGCACTGGGAGTCACTGTCCCGCGTCATAGTTATAGTGTTTCCTAACACTGGCAATTCCCAAAATATATTGCTAGTCTAGATCTCTGTCCTCAGCTTTAGACATGTGTATTCAATTTTTCACCAGATATCGCCACTTGGATGTCTAAATGACTTTTCAAACTCACTCCAAACCTCCCACGCATTTCCCTGGGAGGAACCCCCAAAGCTCTCATAATGGCCTCTAAAGGGCCCTGAATGATCTGATATCTGCTACCTCCCATCTGTCTCCTACCACATCCTTCTTCCCTCACTTCTCTGCACCCATACTGGGATTCTTACTTGAAAAGGGTTTAATTCCTCATATTTTGGCTTAAATTGTAACCTCCTTGATGAAAACGCCTCTGACCATGCTATATAAAAATGCGACTCGCCCTAAACTATAATGGCATCCAGCATCCTAATTGGTCCTTTTTGTGGTATTGTTTCTAGCCCTGTGACATTTTGTGTAATTTATTGCTTTTGTTAATGTTTATTGTTTATTTTACATCACCCCTCACTAGAAATAAAACTCCACAAAGGCAGAGAGATTTTTCTCTTTATGACTTTCCTCTGACATATCTCAAGCACCCAGCATAGTGCCTGGCACATATATTTGTTGAATGAATGAATGCTTATAAAATTAGAATCAAGTCTATATCAGTTGTGGAGGCCTCTGTGTCATATTACAGAGTGGAAACTTAAAGAGACGGTGGCATTACACTGATAATTTTGAGAGACGGCGTGGGAGGGAAGCAGTGCTATATGAAGCCAAATCTGTATTAAATTTTAGCTCTTGTTGCCCTGGAGAAAAACTAGAAGCAGAGGCCAGCCAAAAACCTATGGAAATATTTTTTTTGTGTGGTAATAAAATCTGAAGGAAGCTGATATTAGTAGAAAAACTAATAGATTTTGGAAACCAATAGATTTTGGAAAAAAAAGAGAGATAGGACTTGAAGTCTGATTACTATTAAAAAATAGTCAATTTCCTATGATTGAAAAACTATCAGGGATGAAGAAAGAGTTGTGATTTTTTGAGTGGAAGATGCACCATTTCATTTTAGGCAAGATAAGATGGGCTTGGGGTAATGCTGGATCTTGCAAGAAAATAACCCGGTGTTCAGCAGAGCTGTGAAGAACAGAAGACCTGTGTGAGATCTCCTAGTCATATGGGGAAGGATGAGCTGAATCCCTGGAGGGGGGGCGTGCAAGGACGAGATGTGGAGTAAGGAGAACTGATCGTCACAATAGACCTTGGGGGCTGCTCAAGGTTGCAGGAAAAAGACATTGCTGAATTGTACAGAAGTAGAGCGGCCAAGACGATGGGAGGAAAATCAAGGTTACAGAATCTGGTTAAAGGACTGAAAAAAGATACTAAATTTAAAAAGAAGGCAGTTATACAAGAGTCCCAGTACTATGATTTTAATAGAGTTGGTTGTAAAGAATTCAGGCATTTGTAGGAACGAAAATTACAAAGAGTCTTTTTTTTTTTTTTAATCCCCCAAGAACTCTGCACATTTGTAGGTGAGATCAAGAGCCCATGGAAGGTGAGAGGCTGATGAACATGAGGCAGACTTCCCCTTGATAAAACAAGTAAAACATTGGCATCAGAAAGGAGGAAATTCCTAAAGTGGCCAATTATCCTTCCTGTTTTGCCAGCCTCGGTTCCACAGGGAGACTGAGATTAGTGGGGCCAGATGATCAGTCCCAATCCCTCATCACTCTGTGTCTGAAGAGCTGGAAGCAGGTTGGGCCAGAGGACAGTGGGAAGCTGATGGGGGTGGTGAGGAGCACTACTGATGCTGCAAATCAAGAAAATTAAAAGGCTCAGCAGATACTGTTAAAATAGCAGAATATCTGAAACTGTACTTCTTTGAGACTACCTCAAAACTAATGTCTGCTGGCACAGTTGGTTCTATTAGTGTGGGAAAGTGATTTGTGCTAATAGCAATTTCATCAGAAGATCTCAAAGTATTTTATAAACAATTTTAAAAAGCTCTCTGTGGATTTTCAATGCAAGTTCAGAAACTTTAGCCATGAAGAACTTGGCTATTTTTCTTTCTTCTAGACTTTTTCCTAAATATTAAAAAGTAAACATTAAATGCTTGATATGTTGGTTAGAGTATTCACTTGGGACTGAGACTGAACTTAGTTTTAATATCACTCTGTATACTGGTGGTGGGGTCGTGGGTAATTTACTTACCTATTCTATTTCTCCACTTACAAAAATACAAATAATAATAATGTATATAAAATAACAACTATAGGTCTGGGCATAAAGGAAGTCCAATACTGATGCATGCTGATATCCTATCAGCCTCTAGAGGAAGGATTTTATGACTTTAAAATCTAGAGATCTGCAATTTCTCCTATGGTAAGTCAATATGAAAATCTATGGCCAAATTGCCTCTGTCAAATTATGATTTGGTGCTTTTGTCTGCTCCAGACACATACCAAGAACAGATAAAATATAAAAAATGAAAACTGAAAAGATATGTAGCTGGACTTACAGGCAAGATAAACACTCTGAAGACCAGCAGTGCAATGTCATGAGCAGGGCTAGAGTCCTGGCTATCAGAGCTCTGGGTCTATAAGTCAACAGGGGCAGCCAGAATTGGAATATTTCCATAGGTAAAAGAGAATTAAAATACTTCATACAAGTCCAAAATTAGGCTAACGACTGAAGCCAGACTGAGGGCAGGATGAGTCTCTCTGAGAAATGAAAGGAGATGGAATATCAAAAATGTGCTGGCCACTGTCTAGGACACAGCTTTCAGTAAGCTGTAAACTCAGAGAAGTAGGAAGACATAGGCTCAACCTTGTAACCAAGAAAGGAATCAAAGTCTCTGCTGGCTCTGTAATTTCTCAAAATCACTGCAGAGAAGAAACTCAAAATTCCATTAAAAAGATCTCCTTCTGGGGTCTGAAGAAGATCTGGTTGAGGGCAAACTCAAAACATCTAGACCTGTACATGTGGCAGTTTGTGGGGAGATAGGGGAAAAAGGCACAGAAAAAAATCATAAAAATCTATGCACGAAATGAGTCTATAAACCAAAATTCCAAAATATGGAAATAAATCCAAAGTTAAGAAAGATAATCAACAAAATCAGTAATTAGACTCACTCCATATGAAATTATTATTATTGTTGTTTTAAATTCTGATGAAGTAAGTCAGCCCAGGGCACTAGAGAAGGTAGGATAATTGTAGCCCTGCAGATCTCAATATCCCCTCACCTCCTTCTATAATAAAAACCGAATGGGTAAACAAGAGAGCACATACACATATCCACGATTTATGCTTACAGCATCCTCAGGAGGCAAAGAAGATGCTGGAGAATTGTGCATCCATAGACAAATAAATAAATAAATAAATAGCAAACGGGGCCCCCCAAAATTGCCTTGACCTAAATCTCCCAATGTGTATAAAATTTAACTCAAATTGATCACAGCCTTAGCATAAACATAAAACTATAAAAAAATCCAAACAAAAACAGAGGAAAAATCTTTAGGATCTAAGTCTAGGCAAAGATTTCTTAGACATGTCCTTAAGAATTATAATCCATAAAGGGAAAAATTGATAAGTTGGACTTCATCAAAATTAAAAATTTTGCTCTTCATCTTAAGAGGATGAAAACACAAGCTATAGAAAGGACAATGATATTTGTAAACCACATATACAAGAAATACTATCTATCATTTATAAAGAACTCTCAAAACTCAACAGTAAAAAGCCGAATAATCCAATTAAAAGTGTGCAAAAAACATAAAGAGGATGTGCAGATAGCAGATACGCACAGGAAAAGATGTTCAGTATCATTAGCCTTAGGGAAGTGAAGTTAAAATCACAAGGAGATATCACCTATATACCTACCAGAATGGCTAAAATAAAAAATAGCAAAACACCAAATGCTGGCAAGGATGCAGAGAAAGTGGATCACACTAATACATTGCTGGTGGGAATGTGAAATGTTACAGCCAGCATGGTAAACAGTTTGGCAGGTTTCAAACAATAAACAAACAAACAAAAACTAAACATGCAAGTTCCATATGACTCGGGAATTGTAGTCCTGGGCATTTATCCCAGCAAAATACGGAAGTCAGTGGAAACTCTCAGATGCAAAATTCCTTCACAAAACCAAGGCAGAATTGTTGTGCTCAGGCAACAGAGGAAGATAAACAGGGCTAAAGGAGCTACACTCCAAGTCCTCCAAGCCCTGTCACAGCCACATTGCCCATCCCAGCTGAATCTTTGTATTCAACGTCAACATAGATTTTCTCTAGACATCGATCTTTTCACAGCATAGTTTTCTTTTTTCCTTAAAAGGCAGAAATCACTGATGCTATGGCAGGAAGATGGGAGGGTGGGGAGGGTAATCCACACTATTTCCATTGAAACTTCCACTGGATTTTTAGGAAACCACCTTCAGTCTCAGTATCAGAAAGGATCACAGATTCAACCCGTCAGCAGAGGGGACCCAGCATTACTTCTGGCAACCAGGAATATACTCTGAGTCCTCTGGAGGGTACAGATATTCTTTGTTCATTTTTCAGGTAGCCTTCTGGTCAGTTCTGACATCTTTTCACCTTGAATTTTCTCCCTCCTTTATTTTTACCTTTCTTCCCTGCAGCTTGCCTGACCTTCTGTCAACTCCTGTGTAGTACGAATGGTCACATTGTTTGGAGTGGAGACGAATTGCCTTTCACGGTAAGAGTCTGATAATTTTTTATGCTAATGTGTCTCCTCCCCACAAGTAATGAGGATACTGTGTGTAACCAGGAGCAAGAGGGCAAGAAACACTACCCTGCCATATGTAGTTTCATTTGAATAGAAACACCTATGGTGTTTGCCATTTGAAAATACTCTCTCTTGTTACTGTGTTACCTGTCATATGGGATTCACGGTTGCAATGAACCATGTTTTCATATAGAGAATATGTTCCCTAAATGAACTTATTTCTTACCCCAAATGCATAAAATAATCACTTCCTATTTCTAATTATACTTTTATTAGTTTTTTTTTTTTGAAAAGGAAGACAATAAACATTGACTGCTTACTAATTGCCAAGCACTATAAGTCTTTTATCTTAATTCTAGAGGTGAGAATACTATTGGCTCATGTATGTTTATTAACCTTCCAAAAGTAACATAGATAGAAAGGATGGATTTAAGACTCGAAGTCAAACCCATCATAGCCATTACACTATAGCCTCCTAAATGTATTTCTTTGTTTGGAATATACCTGCTTTTCCACCTATGCATGCATAGTTCATGCCTCCAAGAGAAAACTTCCTTAACTGTTAGAACTCTCAGGAATCTTTCCTTTCTCAAGATTCTTGTAGCACTTACGGTTTTCATGACAAATTCTTGTTCTTGTTCTTTATTGGTTAATACTCACTATTTCGTCTTTGCAACTGGATTTCATGTTTCCTGAGGTCAGTGACCTTATAAAGAATCTATAGCACATACAAAAGTCAATAACGTGCTCCTTAAGTTTGTGGTTTTTCAGGCCTATTCCAAGGATGTAGAATGAAGATAGGATGTTTATAGACATTTGACAAGGTACGTGAGTAACTGAAGGAGGCATGAGAATGCTGAAAACACAAGTATATGATGCTCTGAGACATGCAACTTTAGCTTCAAGAAAATACAGCACAGGCTGTATCTAGATATAAGATACACGGGTTATAAGAATGGAGTCAGTATTTGCAGACAGAACATGACTACCAGGGTTAAAACTGGGATTTAAACAAAGACCACTTCTTCTAAATCCCAATGCCTAATACTGTTTTGTGAACTGCTTCTCAATGGATAACTTCTTTGCAATTATTTCTGAAGGAGAGGATTACTGATACCCAGGCCATGTGACATATCATGCATAAATGTATTCTGGTCCTTTTGAAACTCTCTCTCTTTTACACACACTCACACACACACACAGAGTTGCATAAATACACACACGACAGAGTTTCCTAAACTGTGGTTTCCAGAAGAAATAAATTCAAATGCCATATGTAGAATAAACTCACAAGTACTTTTGTCCAATGTTGTTCTAGTCCTGTATCAAAGAAATAAGTGATTGCCAAATTCTTATAGCTGTTTTGTATCACTCTCACCCCATACAGATTATTTATTTAAAGCCTGGAAGTAATGTCTTACAATGGACATATAGATAATACTAAACATAATCATAAATATATTTGAAAACAGGAAAAATGGAAATCTGAAATACTGTTGTTTGAATAGACTATGTGTCACTGGGCATGACTTATTTCAATTATAAAATCACTTGCAGTACACAGTCATAGGATACAATTATTGGCATTGCACACTAAGTGCTGTTTGTACCCCTATCTCTGTTCAGGGTGAAATTGCTTTCACTGTTTCCAATCTGCTCACATTAAAAGGAAAACACAGAGGAGAACACAAAGGAGCTTGTTTAGAGCACATAAAACTCAGAATACAGAAGGACAGAGAGAGAGTTACAGATCAGAAGCCATTACCAGAACAATAAATAAAATAACCATCCTGTGTAGAGCATATAGGAGGGAAAAACGATTTTATTGAGGAATTAAACATCATTTTAAGTAAGAGATTGAGTCTTTTATGCAAATAATAATAATTCCCTGGCATAAAAAATTACTTACCTGTGTAGCTCAGGATTAGAAAACTCAGAAAATAATAGCAGAACTTCAGTATTCAAAAAGGGGGTAAATGCAGAATATAGACAGTGACTGTAACATCCTGTAACACTAATCACTGTTGCAAACTGACACATAAAGGAATACTTATATTAAAATATGTAATATGGGCTCAATTTAATTTGGACAGTATTTTTCAAATTGCAGGTTGCCACTCATTACGGGGTCATGAAATTAATTCAATGGGTCATGAAAAACATTAAATAACAAAATAGACTAGCCTAGAATAAAGTACGATAGAAAATATTAGCATGAATTTCATGTGGTAAGAGCAAGTACAGCTTTGCAAAAATTCTTCATCTGCTTATCTGTCTATCCAGGGTTCATGTTAGGGGATTGCTTGAGCCAAGCAGTTCCAGGTTGCAGTGAGCTATGATCGCACCACTGCTCTCCAGCCTGGGTGATAGAGCAAGATTCTGCCTCTAAAACAAAAAAATATTTCAGAGATACTTGCTTTTCATAAAGTGAATCATGGAAAGCATTACAGTGGTGGTCACATTTTGGCTTATTATTAATAAAAGAATAGAGTTTTTAGACAGAAAAAATGTAGGTAATAGGGTTGGCATTCCGGGCAAAAAGAATAATATTTGCAAAGATGAAAATGGTTCTTGCCAATATTATTACTATAGTGATGATAATAGTATTATATGTAAAAAGTCTGTGAAAACATTTTTGGTAACACCTTTACTGAGATGTAATTCACATATGAGACAATTCACCTGTTTAATGTGTACAATTCAATGGTTTTTGTTATATTCAGTGTTGTGTAAACATCACCACAATTAATTTTAGAATATTTTCACTGCCCCTATAAGGAATCCTGTGCCCGGTAGCAGTCGCCTTATCATTCCTGCCATTCTCCCCATCCTGCCTCAGCCTTAGACAATCCCTAATCTACATTCTGTCTCTACAGGTCTGCCTATTTTGGACATTTCGTGTACATATGTTATATGGTTACAGTAACTGATTTCAGATTTTAAATTTACCTTGTGTTCTTGGAAAAAATCTCACCTTATCATGGTGTATAATGCTTTTTGTACATTGCTGGATTCCCCTCAGCCCCCACCCAAGCTTTATTAAGATATAATTGACAAATAAAATTCAATTATATATAATTGACATACCATATACAATTATATACCATAAATATCCCATATATATTTACAGTATACAACATGATATTTTGATATATGTAGACAATTTGAAATAATTAAATGAAGTTAAGTAATGTATTCATCACCTCATATACTTATTTTGTGTGCGGGTGGTGAAAATATGTAAAGATCTACTTTCTTAGGGATTTTCCAGTATACAACACATTATTAACTATAGTCACTATGCTGTACAATATATCTCTAGAAATTATTCATCCTAACTGAAATTTTGTACCTTTTGACCAACATCTCCCCAACACCCCTACCTTCCCTGCCAGCCATTCTACCCTACTCACAGCTCCTATGAGTTCAATGTTTTTCGATTTAACATATCAGTGAGATCATGCAGTATTTTTCTTTCTGTGCTTGGTTTATTTCACTTAAGCATAATGTCCTCTAGGTCCATCCATGTTGAAAATGACAGGATTTTTCTTCTCTTTAAGACTGAATCATATTCCATTGTGTGTGTGTGTGTGTGTGTGTGTGTGTGTGTGTGTGTGTGTGT